TACTTTACAAATAATGTTTTTTGTGTATATCCCCAAATTATATTTTATTTTCATTGATATTACAGTCTAAATACGAGTACAAAGCAATTTGTATTACAAATGCATCTGTTGCAGCGATATTTAACATTATAAACGTTAAATATCTAGCGCTATAATTTTCAATATATGTAATTTATAGCGCCTTTCTAATTTACTTTTCAATTTTTATTACGCAATTTCCAGTGCTATCAATATTTTACAAAATAAAAGTATTTTTTCCATAAAAACTCAAAGCATTTCTATATTAAAGGAGCGAGAGAGAAAACACTAAAGCGTGCGAGAGAGACAGCTACTGTTTGACGATGAGATCATCATGCTTTCCCCTTCCTTCGTCGCCCCTCGCCTACAAGCTGTTTCTAGCTCCCCCCTTAATTCGTCGCCCCTCGCCTACAAGCTGTTCAGCTCCTTCCTTACTTCATCGTCCCTCGCCCACAACCGGTTTGCCTGAGGTAACCTTCTCTCTACAGATCTTGTGATGTGGTTACGTACGTAATGATTAGTGATGATTATATACGGATATATATTTTTAAACGTCTATTGTTGGTAAGTTAATTATCTTATCTAAGTAAAATTATGAGAAAGAGCAATATATATTGTTATAAAAAAGCTTTCAATTGATAAATTTCGACGCTTTATAGTAAATAAGTAGTATGAAAGTTAGAGATCTATTTCATTAATAATATAATTCTTATCATAGATTTGGATCTTATATTTTGCAATACCATACATCTGCTGCGCATCGAGGTACTTCAATAAATCCGATGAAGGATATGCATTAGTGCGATTCCCTAAAGAAGACCAATATCAAAAAGCATGGTCAGATGCTGTTTGGGGCGAGAATGCGTCAAAACGTTCCCTGGAAAATCTTAGATTGTGTGTAGTGAGTGTACATCATAAGAATGTTATGCAAAATCAAATAAAAATAGTTTTACAAGTGTTTCTCCTATTTTCAGGTACACTTTGAGCCATCCGTATTTTTTGGTAGTGGGTCGCCGAAAAGAAATAAAAAAATATATATTTTAAAAATATTATTTACAAAATAATATAAATTCAATAAAATTTAAACTTATTCTGCAAAATTAGTTCCATAACATTTTTAACATTCTTCAATAATTTGTTTTCCTTTTTAAGTTTTCGCACAGTTCTTTTAATAGAATTAACATCTAAAGACAAATAAATGTTTTCAGAATTTGAAATAATGTAATTTTTCTCTATGGAACATCTTTTTTTGATTTCATTAACTGATAACGGAAGTGTAGTAAATGGACAATTAGATTGATGATTTATGACACGCACTTGTTTCTTGGATAACTTTGCAGCATTTTCTATTGTATGATTGATTATTGGACAAGTTAAGTTCTTTACAGAGATATAAGAATGCTCAGATGTATCAACTGCTTGACAAATATGACTATTAAGTTTTGCTTTAACATTGCGCACATAAGTTTCCTCTTTCTTCTGTTTTCTAGATTGCGATTTGCTATAAGAATGCTCTAAAATCTTTGGCGAAATATTATTTAAAGGAAGACGATTTTCTGAAAGCCTCTTGCTATAAGAATGCTCTATTAAATATTGATGATTTGAATTCTGTGAAGTATCCAGTTTTGCTTTAATATTTCGCACATAAGTTTCCTTTTTCTTTCGCTTCCTTGCTTGCGATTTGTTGTAAGAATTGTCAGAGGGACAACGACAGAAGCGTGATGGTATTGCATCTTTTTTATTTCTTTCCGGCGACCCACTACCAAAAAATCGGATGGCTCAAAGTGTACCTGAAAATGCAGAAACACTTTTAAAACTATTTTTATTTGATTTTGCATAACATTCTTATGATGTACACTCACTACACACAATCTAAGATTTTCCAGGGAACGTTTTGACGCATTCTCGCCCCAAACAGCATCTGACCATGCTTTTTGATATTGGTCTTCTTTAGGGAATCGACTAATGCATATCCTTCACCGGATTTATTGAAGCACCTCGATGCGCAGCAGATGTATGGCATTGCAAAATATAAGATCCAAATCTATGATAAGAATTATATTATTAATGAAATAGATCTCTAACTTTCATACTACTTATTTACTATAAAGCGTCGAAATTTATCAATTGAAAGCTTTTTTATAACAATATATATTGCTCTTTCTCATAATTTTACTTAGATAAGATAATTAACTTACCAACAATAGATGTTTAAAAATATATATCCGTATATAATCATCACTAATCATTACGTACGTAACCACATCACACTTCATCAAAATAGGTTATAGTGTAGTTCAGTGTAGCTTTATGGTGCACACGGGGCACAAATGTGCGATCCATACACCAGCCAATCAGAGTCCACTAACAGTCACGTGACGAGTTGGCGAGTCTCTTTTTTTAGGGTCTCTATACAATTTAGTACAAAATTGCCCTCAAATCTAGTACACGTCTGCTTCTCCGAGGAACATCCCTGATTCAATACATTGCGAGAAGAACGAGCGTAATGTGGCGGTGCACGGTCTTGTTGAAACCACATAACTAGACGTAAGGATAAGGGAATATCTTCTAATAATGACGAAAGTGTATTAAGCAAGAAAGGATCCCGCACAAACCTGGACCCACACACACACCCACAAACGCACCCACACACGCACAAACACACACATAGTCTGACATTATATCACGGCTACATCATCAAGGCTTAGCAAAAGTTTAAGACTTCAAACATCTCTAGATGAAAAACTATTGATTTTCAAACTTTGTGCCTATTGAGACTTTTGATCAGGACATCAAGGACAACAAACCGGGAGCCACTTTTCATAAGGTTTGTGCGGGGTCTTTTGTGTACGTATTGCCATTAAAAGTCATATAAAAAAAATGTGGTCTAATTAGGTAATCATCCAAAATACCACACCATACATTTAACGACCAACAGTGTTGAAACTGCATAGTTTGCATCCACCTAAGATTTACTGGAGATCAGTAATGCATATTGTGTCGATTCAGAGTTCCAATATTATTAAATGTAGCTTTGTTTAAAAAAAAATATTTTTAATAGGAATGTATCATCCTGAGCTAATTTTTCTTGCTAATTTTTCTTCCAATTACAAAAATTCACTCTCTGGATAAAATAATTTCCAGTCATTTCTTAATGTAAAGAAATGTGATATGGGTGCATCCTATTATTACGTAAAATTCTTGAAATAGAAGATCTACTAATACCACTATCTCTATTTAATTGTCTAGTAGACAGGTGTGCGACGCTCTTTTCATAATTGAATTAACAAATGTTTAGAAGTCAATGGAAATAATTTTGAACACTTATTAATTAAATTTTCTTTTATTAATCTTTCTATTGTAGTTATTTCATTATTTGCATCCATTGTCAAAAATTTCAGAATTTTTTGTACTTAAGGTCACGTAAAGGTCATGGTATTATAAGTCATTGGATTCGTCCTGACCTCAGCTATTACGCTATAATGATAAAAATATGTAGTCCCATTTAAAAAAACATCGATGACCTTGAAATCTCTAAAAATATGACCTTGAGAAAAAAATGATTCCCACCATAATATGTGTCCCTTCGAACCAAACAATTTATTCTTTAAGCATTTCCGCGTATCATTAACGGTAACGGAAATATTGCCTTGTAACAAAGCTACTGAGACACCCTGTATGTAATATATATATATATGTGTGTGTATATGTATACTTAATAATTAATTAATTAATTAATTAATTATGTATTTATTATGTAAAAATAAAAATAAGGAAAGCATATGACATTTTTCTTTAGTTAAATATATAATATTATATGTATATTTTTCAAATATTATTTTGTCATATTCAATTTATATTTATTTGACACTTCGTATATGCCCATTTTGTCTCGTACATTATATTATAGTTTTATGATAGAATTTCTGTCGAGGAAAAGGCATCAGCATTATTTGTTTACAAATTATCCGACACATATACACAGACCACATGTCAGTATAGTGAGTAACTAGGTAAACAAATACGTATATATGGACATTACGTCGACAATGTCTATCTCATTTTTAGTTCCATCGAAATAATAACGCTTTCGCGTTGGAGTTCAGCTGTCACTCAAGCATCCTCTTAACATCCCCACTGAATATATCATAAAATATATCTCTCAAAAAAACTTAGACTTCGTAATTATGGCTTTGACTTTTCGTAACTTCTAATTTTCGCATAAAATCTATTTTTTTATTAGCATACAGGACGTATATTAATTAAATATTTTATACAGTTCTAAGTCATTTATTATTAATTTATTATGAAGTATTTGTGTGATAATAGCATTTGTAATGTTGAGATTATAAACAATAGATTTTAATATTTTTATAGAATATTATATAACACCCATTATTTCCAGCACCGACATATCAAATGATCTGAAAATCATAATTGCACATTCTTATGTTTTATCTAGATAATATATAAAAATAATACAAATACTTACTTGGAAATTATTTGATCACTTGGAATGTAAAACGGATTACAAACAGCATTGGAGTAAGCAGCATGTAACTTCTTAAAAATCTGTTGTTTAATTAGTAAGAATTAAACTTGTGCAATATGATTAATAAAATATAAAAATTATAAAAACATGAAAGAAGAATTACCATTTTTACTTCATTATCTCTTAAGGATACATTGGATGATTGCAATACTATGACAAATTTAATCTTTGTATTAGTGGCATAACCATATCTGAAAAAATAAAGATATTAAAATATATTTGACACAAAATTTCTCTCCTATTGTGATGCATGTAATATCACATACATTTTATATTCTTCAGTTGCAAATAATAAACCTAAATATAAGTCACGTATATCAACTGTTGTTTTATTTCCTACATTCAACTTTTCTTCTATAATATCAATTGATGTATGCACTTTATAATGAAATTGTAAGGCAGAAGCTTCATCTGCACACTTGATGTATTTCGGAGAGTTCTGAAAATATCTATCAATTATTTTAAAATTTCAATTTTTTATGTCTGAGAAAGAAGCATAATTACATATGTTCGCTACGTTTTGAAAAAGTTTTATTCGTCATAATTTGTAACCTATAAATCCAACAACAATGTATACTTGCATCTTTGCCGATAACAGCTACGCAAGCGGCCATTTTAGTAGATTCTACAAATATTCTACAAAACGCGATAAAAAGATTTTTTAGAACACGCCACACACTTTCTATTAAATATATTTATTATTGAAAACTAAAAAATTGCGAACACAAACACTCCGTTACGAGGAACAATTCTAGGTTAGAACTAGTTAGAACGCCAGTGCTGTCACAGCACTGCTGTGATATATATGTACTCACTTGAATAAAAATGCTGCTTCAATAAATAATATTTTAATTGTAGTATAAAATGTAAAATACAAAAATATACATGAAATTATATTAATGTACAAGAAATATTCTAGATAAATTTATAAGGTGATTCTAACTTATAAAAATGACACTAGTTATAATTGAACAATTTATTGGTACAACCAAGATTGTAATTTGTACAATATTATGGAACACTTATAAAGTTGAGAACCAATATAAAATTAAACATACTGTATGTTTCATTGTTTCTATTATTGATCATAATATCTTCTCTTTAAAGTTCTGTATTTGCGTAACATGTATAAAACTTCTAATTCTTTTATCACAAAAATACCATGATTTATCATTTTATTTATTTTCTCAGGATCAGTTTCTGCTTTATTTTTGTCAAAAGCACTCCTCAACTTAGTTCTAAAATATTCATATCCTTTTGGATAATCTCGACCCATGTATAGTAGCTGAAAAAAACAATGTAAGTTATGTAAAATTAAGAAAACATACAATATGTTATATAAGAAAAAATACAATACATTATATAACAAAAAATTTATGCATTTAGATATATTCATCGTAAAAATAATGTGTATTGAAATATATATTGATCGTTAAATGCTATTGAAATATTATTACATGTGAAATATGTATTATATAAAGCTCTTTATTACCGTTTTGTACAAGTGAATAACTCTAGTACGCTGTGACATAGCATGTAACAAATGTTGGTCTTCAACTAATTTGCTGATAAACCTTCAAAATTAATGAACAAATTATTATTATTTCTAATTGTTTCCATTAGAAACTGATTAGAAACAGATAACAATTACAAAGGGTGTTTTCCAACAAGTTACACAGATGACACAGTGTGACACTGTGTCCAACACAAACTATTCCAACAGTGACACCATGTTACACTGCTCGACACAATAAAAAGCTAAGTACAAGCGTGTAAAATGTCCCAGTTACCAACATTTTAAGAAATCTTATAATTTTAAATGATGGTAATACTTTTGATCATAACTTATAAATGTAATAATACAACGATACGAGAGAGCGAGAGTACAAGATTGAAAATTATGAAGCTCTATCTCTATAAATTTAATCTCAATGGATCATATTTTGGAAGTTAATGGTAAAATAAAACATTAAAATACAATACAAAATATGCCATACAAATTTTATTACTTATTATTATCAATAAAACATTTGTTACATATATTATTATATTTTTCAGAATTCACGTGCAAACATTGTAACAACGCAATTGCTTCATTGGATCATTTTGCTAACATTACTGCTTATTGAAGTATCACCAGAGAGAAGACTGAGAGTGGACATGCCCGCATTTTTCGTGTTTCTGTGGGCTAGCGCCTCTATGTGCACAAAACGTGAACATTGAACTACGTAGCCAATGTCCACGAATCCCGTAGGTAATGTCCACGATCTTTCGGGTCTCTTCCGTGCTATGTCCACGACTTTTTGGTTCCGATATGTGCTATATCTACAAAGTGTCGGTAATGCATACTTGTAAAACATGATTATGTATATCAATCAGATTTGAAATATAAATACACACGTATTGTAAATACATGTATTGTAGCATTTATTTTTGCATTTACAGTTTATTTAGCAAAAGATCAGTTATTTTCAATAACCTGTGTAATTTGAAAATGTACATTTAAATTATTTTAATAAATTACTTCTATAATTTTGTTGTGTGTGTGTGTGTGTGCTTGAGCGTGTGTAAATAAAGTATTGCATTTTTGTCAATATTTAAAAAGATGATAAACTCTTATAGATATTTCATACAGTAATGACCAATAACTTATTTTGAATATTAAAAGCCAGGGTTGGGCGTTTACACGTAAACTATAATAGATGTAAAAATACATATTAAACACGAATGCAAGCTAGACAGTAAAAATAATCTTTTTATTTATAATTTGAGAGGACTATAGTCATGAACCGCCGCAAGCAAGTGTGCACCGCACAAAGTTTCATT